AACATCTGTAATGATGAGTGAAGCCAAGATGACCCCTAATGAAAAATGATCATATGATACGTGAACTGAGTTGGATTAATCCATCTTAATCCCGGATTAATCCATTCTTTAGTTCAAGAGGGGGAACGCATGGCCTTCCAAGCGCTGCCAAATTACCATCTCCCTCCTCGCAGACCAGCCCCACAGAGGGTCCTACAACAACCACGGACCAGTGGCTCAATAAGCTGACACTGCGTGGTGCAATCAGCAATCAGGTGGGAGAAGTCTCGGCACAGTGCATCCTTCCTCAGAGGACAGAAGATGCCTCAGGACTTCCAGCTGTGCGAGAAAGGAGAGCGATTTAGCCATTTCCACTGAAGAGAAAAATGGAACATCCATCCTGACATCCAATTTCCGCTCCTAGGCTCATACAGTTAAGTTAACTTCTGAAGGGTCTGTAAGCACCTGGACCTCTGAAGAAATGAGGGCCAGACTACTGTAATCTCCACTCGCTTAAATATAGCCGCCCATCTCACAGAACACATGTACAATAAAAACACATCATAAAAACTAACAATTAAAAAAGCATTCTACAATTAGAAACACCAAAGTTTTATTTATCTCCCAAATGAAGGTGGAGAAGATGTGCTACTTATGTTCAAATAAACCCAGTTCCACTGCCTGTCACGGTAAGGTTGGAATCAAACACTGTAAAGGAGAGAGATCACTGAAGAAGAAAAGGACATCAACCATTTTGGAGGCAACATTATCTGAAAAAGGAAGGCTGGAAACAGGGAGAGGGTTGGATCAGAAAATGCGAGTCAGAAGGGGGCTTACGGTCCAAAGGACCCCTCATGGCCACAACCCTCTCAAACACACCCTGTTCCAGAGAGAAGCCCCATCAGCCAAGGGAGAGGACACGGAGCATCAGAAGGAGAAGACAGAGAGGAAGAAAGATGGCGAGTGGCAGTCGAGGAGACCAGGGGAAGAAGGGGCTCTGAGAGCAAGAGGAACAAAGCAATAAAGGAGAATCAATTGCTCCGGGGAAAGAGAGAGAAACAGCCCAAGATTTTGGCATCCATGCCTGGCATGCAGGATCCCTACACCTTTTGAAAGAGCAGCTCCGAGGGGGCAAAAAAGGGCACAACACACACCCAGGCTTGATCCAGGCGATCTGTCAGATCCAGTCCTGACCTTGCCGTCAGTTCCTGCATTGGACAAAGGGGGTCTCCCTCAAGGAAAGATCTTTTGCTTCCCCGCAAGGACGCAGAAGAAGCCAAAGCAAATGCTCTGGAGAAAACTGCAGAATCAGCTGGCGCCCAGCCACTACGCAAGCTGGACACGGAGGTTAAGGATTTAGCTTCCGAAGCTGCAATCAGGGCAACTGGGTCAGCAGACCAGCTCCGCCCAGTCAAGGAGGAACCAGGAGCCATGCTGAGTTAGTAGGTCTGAGGGACAAGTTAAAGAGCAGCAACACAGAAAAAACAAGATTCTCCTGCCCCCCCCCAAAAAAGTGGAGCACTAAAACCCTTCTTTTGAGAAACTGGAAAGGGAGGCTGGGGGGTTTCGCTGTGGAGCAAAGGGGGGTAGAAAAGCTGGATGTCCCAAAGTGAAGTGGCCCCCATTCTGGCCAAAAGACCGACCCACATAAAGTTTGAGGAACACAATTTAAACTTTTCACTGCCATCTGGGACAAAGCGAGATATTTTTGAAAGGATCTATATAAGATAGCTCATCAAACCATGTTAGAAACATGCGACACAGAAATCATGCTTCTGCTGATTCCCTGTTTGATTCCAGGGAGCAAAAAGATGCATTCCCAAACAGAAAGCGTTCTGTAAAAGCTTCTGGTAGTAAAGGGTTAGGGTTAGATGGCGGTGATGGAAGACCGCTCCACAGCTGGCAGAACCATCACAGGGAACCCAAAAAGCCCCAAATAAAGCCACCAAGGAGAATCCCCCCATCCCAGAGGTTTGCCTGAAACAATAAGAAACAACCACTTGAAGGTACAACTGCCCAGCTGTTGCTCTGAACTAAAGCCCGTCCACCAACCCGTCCCCGAACTGAGTAAAATCTCTGAACGTCAGAGACAGCTGTGCCCCAGAACCATCAGAAGGACTAAACAACAAAAGCCACGCAGAGGGGCAACGGGGTCCTCCAGAGAATGCTTCTATTGGAGAGAATAACGCTTACGCCGAAGTCGGTGGCTATAAAGCACCAGAAAAAATCCTGCTAAGTGGAGGACACGTCTTCCACGCCAGGGCCGGGCCGGAGAGGCCCCTTAAAGCCAGCCTGCTCTTCCTGCCAATTTTCAGGAAGGTTTCAGCAAAGCAGAGGAGCAGCTGTGTCGCCGCCAAGTCATAAACTGGCTGTCCAGGAAACCATGCCCGACACCCACAAGAGAAGCTCACTCCCCACAAAACAGGGCCCCGAACATCCCTCTCTCAGTCTGACAGGAGAGAAGAGAACGTCCCTCTGCCCTGCCAGCTGCCAGAGGTGACTTGGGGCCCTGAGGGGGTAAGCGGGGGGGGGGGCAGCGAGCTCCCTCGGTTGGACTTTCTGCTTCCACTCGTATCCCGTGCACAGACACACGCAGGTTTCTGCCTCGCTTTGCCCACTCTGAAAAATACTTACCGAGGGGCACCACAGGCTGGGTTTGTCCCACAGGCGAGGCCTGAGCATCCACGATACCTTGCTTATGCAAGCGAAACCTCCGCTTTTCTCTTAGTTCCTTCTCTATTTTAAAGAGCTTCACCATAATAAGACAGCAATACACGTCCTAGACAGTAGGAAACATGATGATTATATTTTAGAATATGGCATGAATGTCTCATACAAATACAGAGTCATCATCTCAGCTAATTGGCAACGGGGTTGACGAGAAGACGTCCTCCTCTCTTGCCTCTGAAGCCCTGGCTGGTCACAGGCCCCGCGAGGAGGAGGGAAAACTGAGCCGAATCTGCAGGGCCAGACGGGTCGCGACTGGAAGAACCAGCCAAGGCGCTCTTGGCCGTCCTGGGGAACTCCTGAGGAGGTCCCAGGAGAGGAGAAGGGCCTGGGAAACCACAGACCCCTCGGACGCCGATCCTGCCAGACCCACCTCCTCACGTACAGCTAACAGCTGAATGGCACGTTCAGGGGAATGTGGGCGTGCCCATCGCGTGCCTGGGCCTCAGCAGAGCCCTCAGCAGGTTCTCTTTAGCACGAGGAGGGTAAAATACGGGCCAGATGGCTCCACTTGCCGCTCGCAGGAGGACTGAAAGTGCACCCAAAGAGGGCCCTCAATGGCTCTGCTCCAGCTCAGGAGTCTCGAGAGCTCTGGCAGGCCCTGGGCTCTTCAACATCTGCACCGACTCGGAGGTGGGAGTTGAAGGGACCCTTACCGAATTTGCAGATGGCTCAAAGCTGGTAGGGGGGCTAATGCTAGAGAGGGGTCTCCAAATAGCTTTGCCCCCAGGTAGACGTCCCCCATCCAAAAGCCGAGGCAAGCTGGTCCTCCAAGAGGCCGCAGCCTGGCAGGCACCAGCTGGGGAGGGGCGTCTTCTGATCTCGCCAAACTGCCGGCTGGACCTCACAGCATCAGCTCGCTCCACAGCCTTCTGTCCATGGAGCTGCTCCATCCATCCAGACGCGCGTCCCCAACCGAGAAAACTTGCCGCTGCCCTGACCCCTCCGCCGTCTCCAGGGACTCCTGAGCCGAGGAGTGCGGCCGCTCCATTTAGTTACCGTCCAGCGCACCCGGCTATGGCTACTCTAAGTGCTCGCTCGCCTTTGCGGGGCCTTTCCCAGCTCCTGGGCAGGAGGGCGGGCCGGGAGAAAGGAGCGCCCTCCAAGGAAAGGAGGCGGCGCGGAGGGGCTGAGCTGCGGGAGCGGGAGGGGTCGGGCACTTTTGTTCACGCCTGCGGCAGAGACAGGCCTCTTCCCCGCCCTCCCGGGGGGCGGGGGGGGTCGCCCTCTTTTCTCCGCCCCGGGGGCAAACCCGGCCCTCGGCCCCGCCTTCCGGGGGAGGGGCGAGGTTGCCCCCCCCCAACACACACGCGCGCACACAGGACGCCCCGAGCGCCGGTCCTCAGCAGCAACGTAGGGAGGGGATTTCCCGGCTATCTCCCGGCTCCCGTCGGTATCTCCCGGCTCCCGGAAGACTGCTCCGGGACTGGAGGGGCGCAGCGAGCATCGCTGGCTTCATAGGAGCCCCACCTGTGCGTGCCCACCCCAGCCTGCACAGGTAGAGGTACATGCGGCAAAGAAAACCGAGTTAGGGTACCGGGCAGTAAATTCACCATCGCGGCGCTTGTTGGGCATAGCAGGCCGAGGTGGCGCTTTTGGCGTTCAGCCGGTCTGCTTTGGGGGGCCAGGAGCAGAACGGCCCTGCACTCGCCAGTTCGACCATGGTATGGAAGTTGGCACTAAGCCTTTGAGGCATCAAAGTGCTTTGCGGCGACTTGTCATCCTGCAAGAAATGTTTTGGGGGCATTGCCACAGTAGTGCAGGGATGGAGGGCATCCAGGGGTCTCCTTGTCAGCGTAGCACAGGTGTGAAAGAGGCCCATGCTTTAAAATAGGCAGCAGTGGGGCATATCTCTGGGACTTCCACAGGCAGGAGAAAGGGGAGAAACTTCACAAGTGAATCCCTCAGCCAGCCAGCCAAATAAGGAGCGGGTCAGAACCGAACCTGAAGGGGAAAGCAAGTTATGAGATCGTGGCCCTTCCTGGGGGAACAGGCAGAGATCAGTCACAGCTGGTTCACTTCCCAAAAGCCACAAGCAACTTGGGAAGGGCTCTGAAACAGGCCACAGCCTAACAGGTTCAGCCTTAAACCTAAACAGAAGGGTGCCAGTTTGTGGGCTAACCTGCTGCAGAAACCCCACCCACCCATTTGGGTGCTGTAGGAACAAAGCCACCCTATTATTCATTTATTGCTCAAGGCTTTTAGATCCTGAGCTAACGGGAGGCCACAGATGACCAACCTGAGAATTTGGGGGGTGGGAATTCCTCCCAATCACCTAGTCCCTTGCAGGGAACACAGGAAATGAGCCAGTGTTGTGAGCACTTCAGGCAGCCGGCTAACGCGCACAGGTTTGTCTCTATCCAGCCACATCTTCTGCTTTCTCATTAAGCAATAAAAGGATAATAAAGTTTATGGACTTGCAAGAACTTGCCCAGATTATAAAACTGATTGTGCTGGAAAAGGAAACAACTCTCCTGGAGACCCCAAATCTGATTTTGCTGTTCACTCACTTCACGGCCATATCCCCCCAGGAGACACATTCGTCGCATCTCTCCTACCCCCAGGACGGCTCCCTGCAAACAGGGGGCAAACTCTGGGCTGATTGCCCAGCCCACCTCACCCCTGGCACCAGTTGTATTTTGGTGTCAGTCAGATCTAGCCCAGCAAAGAGCGCCATCGCCAGATCGGGTTCAGCCTCCTCGGGATGCAGGCCCTGGCTTGGCTGCTTGCCCCCGCCTGAGTGCCCACAGTCACATGCCACGCCACGCCACACCACACCAGCACCCCTTTGGACCCAGCTCAGTGTGTCCCACAGCAGAGCTGTGCGAGCTCCTGAAAAGAAAAGCCCCGGTGCACCAAGCGGCTGCATTCAGCTCGCTAACCCCCGGCCCCCAGCAGCCTTCCAGGTCTTTCAGTGGAAGCAGCCTTTGCTCGTTCCCAGGATTGAATTAAATGTCTTACTAATAGTGATTAAGCATTTTTCCTTCATTTGTGGTTATGTGTCAGAAAACATAACTAGACACGTTTAATATCTGAATTACACCAAACTCCTTTAGTACAGGAGAAAAATTGCCTCAACATCTGCGGAAGGAGGGAAAAAAACATCAAAATCTGGGGAAATTAAGCTTAAAAACCGCAAAATGTGAACTCACAAGCTGTGCCTGAGCCAGAGAATCCACAGCCCAGCCCAGCCCAGGCCCCTGCCCTGTGCCAGCTCTCCCTGAGGAACTGCTGGGCCCCACAGGAGCAGCCGAGCCCCAGCCAGGCCTGCAGCACAGCTACCAGAAGTGGGGAAGCCAGCCCTGTCCCCTGGGATTTGTGGGCGGGTTGGCCGAGGGCCCCACCGAGGACCCCGGTAGCTGGCCAGGAACCACAGCCCTCCTTGTGCATCTTTTCTGTCTGGGTCCTGGGAAAAAAAAGGGTAAGATGGGGGGCAGCCGAGGCTGCAGCAGGTGAATGGCCATGCAAGCGGCCGGCACAGCCTCCCCCAATCAGGCCCAGCTTGCCCTTCAGCAGACCTCCCCCCACTGAAGAATGGGATCTGCCGCAGTGGCCTTCAAAGAGGGTCTCTTCTGGGTGTGACCAGTGAGGGCTGATGGGGACGCAGCTGTGACTCCTGGGAGAAAACAAGTCTTGCTGTCTGGTGGGCTGCGGGGGCCAGGAGCCCTTCCCCAAGAATTCACTGTCCCCAGCTTAGTTTAAAGATCCCCTTGGAATCATTTGGCCGCAGAATGGGGGAGGGGGAGGAATCCGTTTGCCAGTCCTTTGGCAGAAGAACGTGGCACTGCCCTTTCATCCCTGGGCAGACCTGCACAGAACAGGCACCCCTAGCCCTGCCCCAGAGCATCCCTTGAGGCCACCCAACCCACCCCCACCCAGGCCAAGCCAAACATTTCCAGTCCCTTAGATTCTAGTATTTGGCTACCCTGACAGCCTCTCTTCACATTTTCTCCAATTTGTCCCAGTACTTCTTAAAGTATGGTGCTCAGAAATCAACAGCCCACAAAGCCCAATAAAGGGGAAGAATTCTTTCTTGTGACTTGGGAATTATATTTCTGTTGGTGCAGCCTAACACTGCATTTGCCTTTTTTGCAGCCACAACACCCTGCTGGCTCTCATTCAGTTAGCAATCAACTTGTATCTTGTGGATTTTTTACGCAAGTATTATTACCAAGCCAGTTATCTCCTATCCTAGACATGCGCATTTGATTCTCGTTCTACATCGCTACCCACAGCTCATTTCTCTGACTTTTAAGAATATTTCTGGTTTCCAGGGGTTAGCCGTCCCACCCAATCCTGTGCTGTCTACAACTTCCCCAAGCCCTCCCCTGTCTTCACCCAATGCGTTAATGAATTAAAGAACTGAGGAGTAGAGGGCCCCTTCTGGCACCCCCTGCCTCCTCTCCAATTGGATGGGGAGTCACTGATGAGCCCTCTGGGGTAGGACTACTGAGCCAGCCACGAATCCACCAAACCATCCAACCCCCCAGCCAGACTTCAGTAGTCCCACCTCATCCCCAAAAGCCCCCCAGTGCAGGGTTTGCTCACTAAGCAGCAATAAACTCAAGGGTCCTCATAGTCCCCATCTGCTTCCTATTCTTTCAACAGCCCAGGAGTAAGACCTCCGCCCTGGTCTCCAGGAGGTCAGACTGCGGCCCAAGGACCAAGCGGCTCCACCTGCAAACGGTGCTTGCGCTGCAGGAGATTCCGCCCCTTGACCGCTGCAGGAGACGGGCACAGAGGTGCCCGTGCGTGTGGCAGCAGCGTTTGTCATCCAAACAATTCCCCTCCCCATCCGGTGCTCAGCACATAACACGCTTTTTGGGGGGGTGAGGGAGGGTGCCACTGGCAGAGAAAGAAGGAGAAAATCTGCTTCCAGCGTCAGCAGGGGATGCCCGCCCAAGCCGCGCTCGAGGACAGAAGATACCGGGAGCTCCCGCCCAGGCTGGCTGCTGCCCCTCCTCCCACAGCACCCCCGGAGTTCGGATGCCGCTCCCCGCAAAGGTCACCAAGGACCAGCAGAGCGACCGAGTGGGCCCACGCTGCTGTGGTCAGCGCTGCGACGTCCACAGCAGCACTTCCTCCAGGCACGGAGTCCAGGGAGAAGGCAGATATCCAGAGCTGGGCTCTGCTTCTGCCCAGACGGGGCCCTCCCTCCTTCGGCAGGCGGGACCCTACTTGTAGGTCCAGCAGGCGGTGGCCCAACCCTGCCCCTTGCAGAGCTCCTTGTGCTTCAGGAAGCAGGTCTGGACGCGGAATTTGCGGCCACAGTCCTCGCATGCGTAGAGGTTGCCGTCATGGGTCTTCATGTGCTCCGTCAGGTGGTGCTTCAGCTTGAACCTCTTGTTGCAGACCGAGCAGCCGAAGGGGCGCAAGCTGAACGTCAGCATGATATGCCGATCCCGCTTCGGCTTGACGGCAAAGCGCTTCCCGCATAGGCAGCCGAACTTCTTGCCATCGGGCGCAGACATCAGCTTGACGGGCGCGTGGACCACCTGGCCATGGACAGCATGGGCGATGATCTCGTTGCCGTGCAGGTCGACGGGCTTCCACGAGCTCTCAGGGAAAGCTGCCACGGAGTCTGCCGAGAGGGGCTGGGTCTTCACAGCAAAGGAGCTGGGTGCCGTGGACGAGGAGGCCCCGCCGGGCAGGATGTAGCTGAGCTCGCCGGTGGCCTGGATCTCTGCCTGGCAGAGACCTGGGACCTCAGCCACACCCAGGGGCCTTCCCAAGGATTTCAGGAAGCCAGTCTCAGACAGGCAGGAGGCTGGGCCATCCCCCAGCACGGAGGTAGCGGCCTCATCTGCGTCGAAGCGCTCCTGCTTGATGTAGAAGACTTTGGGGGCCTCATGGGGGGAAGCGAAGCCAGGGCCCTGCTCTCTGGAACCCTTGCCGGGGCAGCCTCCGCCACGGTCCTCCTCCTCCTCCTCCTCCTCGTCCAGAATGACCTTCACCGGACGGTCAGCGGACCCACTGCAGATCTGGGCTTGCCGGTCCTCCTCCTCGTCGTCGTCCTCCTCCTCGTCTTCCTGGGATACCCGGATCTTCACCACCTCCTCGTCCGGGCACTCATGCTGCAGGCGGCGGGGCCGGCCAGGCCCTTCAGCCCCCCCGGCAGCCTCCCCGTCGTCCCGGACGCCGAAGGGGTTGCTGCTGCTCGGGGACTGGCTCTCGCTGGCCCGGCCGGACCAGGGCCGGCAGGAGGGGCCGCCCCCCTCCCGCTCCTTTAGGAGTGCGGGGCCGCGGTGCCGCAACCGCCCCCACCTGCGGGC